GGCAGATGTGTTTGCACGTTACTGCCGCGCTCGGGGTCTGACCACTCTTTACGTCTGCGGTTCCGACCAGGTGAGCTCCGCCTTGCGCCACCCTTTCAATCGTCCGGACTTGAGACCAGTTGGGATAGGGCACTTACCGGCTAACGGATTGACTCGAATAGTACGGCACGGCGACCGAGACGAAAGCGCTTGAGGAGGGCGTAACCCCCGAAGCTCTTTGCGCCAAGTACCACGCAGTTCACAAGGATATCTACGACTGGTTCGGTATTGAATTGTGGGTGCTCACAAATGCGCTCTTCCAAATTCCAATGCGGCCTTGACTATTCCCCCGGTCAAACTGGATCTATCGCGACCTTTCGCGACACAACTACACTCTTCGCAGATAATTGAGTTGTCCAGGGCTAACACATGCGATCCAGCGACGTATTTGGACGAACCCCAACTGCCCAACACACCCAGATAGTCCAGGACATCTTTTCTCGCTTGTGGGAGAATGGTTTCGTGAGTTGGCAACTTGAAAGAGCGATGCGGATGGATAGGGCTGACTTATGCGACTCTGAAAGATCGAAGAACGGGAGACTATCCAGCCTTACTGCCCTAAACACGACAGCTTTCTTGCTGATCGCTTCGTTGTACGTATCGCTCCGAGCACGCTGACTGTTAGATGACAAGAGGCGGAGTTTGAATCGCTGACAATGATTGGGTATCAAGGAGGGCGAATGCAGTAAGTGACCACCATACTCAAGCATGACCCATGATCGCTTTGCGAGGGTCTTCGGCATGCTGTAATCTTGACGACATTTGCGCGAGTGCTGATCCAACGCCAATAGGCATCTGTCACTACGAGGATGCTAGAGGTGATCAGGTGGGTTGGGTTCCATAACATGTCCCGTGCGCACCGCGATTATAGCTGTCTAACGCAAGATCCCAATGCAGTGCGACAAGTGCGGCAACCTGCTTGACCCACTTGAACCAGTCGCTGTAGATGGCAGCGAGGCGAAAGGCACCGGAACCGGATGGCTCTTGAAGGTACGATACCATGCCCTTGATGTCCTTGTTAATACCGGATTCCTAATGCATAGTAGCCTCGGTGTAAACTAGACGGAGAAACGCCCGTTCCGCGCAAAACGAAACACCTGTTTTTGAAACTCGATGCTTTGAAAGACGACATTGTATCTTGGTTCGAGAAAACGAACAAGCAGTGGAGCGCCAACTGCATTGCCATCACCAAGTCGTGGATAGATAGAGGTCTCCAAGCTCGAGGTATCACAAGAGACTTGAAGTGGGGTGTACCGAGTGAGTCAAAAACTTGCGGAATTTGTCGTGTCGCCGTTACTCAAGTCCTCGAACAAGCACAGTAACAATTGCTGATACATGATGCGCAATAGTCCCAAAAGGTCTTAAGGGGCTTTCAGAGGAAGACTACAAAGACAAGGTCTTCTACGTTTGGTTCGATGCTTGCAGTATGTCACGAGCAACTTCGCTGAGTTTCACTCATTGGAAATCGCGATAGGCATGCTTACTCTCATCTCACAGTCGGATATCCATCTATCACGAAAACATACGTATGTTGTATGCGCACTCATTTTGACCAACATTGACCTGACATAATTAGACCGATGGCGACAACCTATCCGGCTCAAACTGGGAGCAGTGGTGGAAAAATCCGGATAACGTCACTTTATACCAATTGTAAGGTCTTCGCGGGATAAACGCATTAGAAATACTGGTGCTAATAATCATTCAGTATGGGCAAGGATAACGTACCGTATGTGATCCACAGCGTATAGGGATAATCAATTGGGTATGGCTAACTGTGCGTAGATTCCACTCAATCATCTTCCCTGGTTCTCAGCTTGGCACTCGGGAGAAGTGGACAAAAGTAGGCAGATTCTCGACAACCGAGTATCTGAACTACGAAGGCGGAAAATTTAGCAAATCAAGAAATATTGGTGTCTTTGGTAACTCTGCCAAGGATGCTGGTATTCATCCCGACGTTTGGAGATTCTTCTTGGTATCTCGACGACCCGAAGTCGGCGATTCGGAATTCAAATGGGAGTATGTGATGCGATGCGGATTCAGATGGAATATCGTTGCTAACTTCTTCACTACTAGTGAATTCATTGCCGTCAACAACAACGACCTTCTCAAGAACTTGGGTAACCTGTGCCAGCGCGTGATCAAGTTCTGTCATGCGAAATTCGATGCTACGATACCCAACTACAAATCCTACACCAACGAGGCCCTTGATGCTCACAAGGCGGAGACCAATGCTCTGTTGAAAGAGTACAACACCGTATTGGAAGAGATAAAATTGCGACAGGGACTTTCCACCGTCCTCCTTGTTTCCGCTCTTGGCAATAAGCTGCTTCAAGACAACAAGCTCAGCAACCAGCTGCTGGCTGAGGATCCCGAACGCTGCGCAGGTGTTGTTGGTCTCGCACGTGAGTTGTGGACTCTCTGACGTTCAAAGCGTGCATGATGCTGACTAAATTCAAGTCAACCACATCCATCTAGTTGCCAACCTTCTGAGCCCCTTCATGCCCGGCATGGGTAAGTATCTTCCGTTCCCTATAGATATTAGAATTCGCCATAGCTAATCCGTACGCCCTCACAGCAAAATCCATCCTCACGCAGCTCGGCCTGCCAAAAGAAAAGCAGGTATTCTCCATCCCTGACATATGGACAGGCACGACGCTCGAGGCTGGTCAGAAGTTGGGCGAGCCGGAATTACTGTTCTCGCAGATTCCGCCCGCGCGTCTTGACGAATGGCGGGATGCTTATGGTGGAGACGAGTTAAAGAAGCAAAAGCAGCTCGCGGCTGAACAGGCCGCAGCAAAGAAAGCCGAGAAGGAGAGGAAGAAAGCCGAGAAGGCAGCCAAGAAAGCTGCTGCCGCCACTGAAGCCACTGAAGCCCCCGATGCCGCTGAGGCCGCCGGCGTTGAGGCTTCGGCAAAGGTTGAGGTGCCTGATGCTGTGAAACCTAGCAGCTAGATTAAGGGGATGTAGATACCTTGCGGAGCGGGTCGGGTTGCGAAGAGGGATTAGCGACCATAGGTGTTATTCCTGTAGCTTTCCATTGGGATCCGGGCATGATAAGCGCATGATAGATTGACAGGAGCATCGATTAATATGTCATGATGGCGATGACTGGCTGTCGACAATAAAAATGCTTTATGCCTCCCTTAATATAAGAAGTATCACGAAACCTTAGGTATGGTCTAGTAAGAGTGCAAGACTCAAGGTCATTAATACCAAAAACCCGCTTCTCATTAAACAGATAATGTACCTTACTGTATTGTCCAATCTGCATCCTGCATGGAAAGAGCAATCGAATTGATTGGCTTCCAGCGTTGCGCCTTCCGTAGCAGACGTTGTAGCACCTTCTGGGCACTTATTGCCCCGCCTGAAACTGAGACAGCCGGGCAGGCATCACGTCACCACTGAGCACGACATTGAAAGCAACCTGCGTCTTTACACATTCCCTCAGGCTCTTTACGGGACAAATCAACGGATATACAATCAACATCGCCGTTTAACGCATCGGCTCCGCATCACATTTCACATCCTTCTTCCTGTTTTTGAAATTGAGAGGATATCACATCATGCCGTCTATCCTCATCGTCGGCGGCACCAGAGGTCTGGGGGCCTCGCTCGCGAATCAGTATGCTGGCGACTCATCCAATACTGTTTTCGCGACGACACGGAGCGACTCGGCTCCGGCCTCCGGCTCAGGCTTGAACAAAAACATCAAGTGGGTACAGGGTATTGATCTCATGAAATCCAGTGTTGGGAGTGATCTTACGGCGAAGCTTAAGGGGGAGGGGGGCTTGGATGTCGTGGTAAGTTACATGAATATTCATTCAAGCCCTCGATTTCCCTGACTTTCTATTGCACAAATGAGCGGAAAGCCAGGGGTGCGGAGTATTGAAAGAAAGCCTGACACGAAACCGGTATAGGTCATCAGCGCCGGCGCATTCATGACTGAGGACTTTAGCAAGGAGAAGGGACCGAACTGGGAGAATGAGGTGACGATGTACACCACGAGCTCCATTGCTCCAGTGTTCACCGTGCACTCGCTTTTTCACGCCGGTCACCTGAAATCAGGCGCCAAAGTGTGAGTGCTTCCTACCGTTGTCTCATCTCGGTCGGGACTCGGAAGAAATATCGCAAACTGACGCTGCATAGGGTCTTCGTGTCAAGCGAAGCCGGCAGTATCACCCTACGCCACGAGAAAGAGGGAGGAGGCAACTACGCACATCATGCGTCCAAGGCGGCGCTGAACATGGCTGCGAAGCTCCTGAGTCTCGACATGAAGGAGAGTGGTGTCGTGGTTAGTCTCGTGCATCCTGGGTTCATGCGCACCGAGATGACCAAGAACGTGGGCTTTGACAAGCATTGGGATGAAGGGGGCGCCGTAACACCTGATGAGGCTGCCGAGAGTCTGCGTGAGTGGGTTGAGAAGCTGGATATGAGTAAAACTGGCGAGTACTGGGCGCCGAGAGGACCTAGTAAGTACTTTTCTTATGTTGTCTGATGTGTTCGAGAGCTGACATGGAGTTCAACAGGAGATATTGGCATGGCGGAGACTGTGATGGGCGAGAACTTGAGCACGCCTTTGAAATTGCCGTGGTGAACACGAATGCTGTGACAGGAGCATCATGATGTTGAAAGACACGAAACGTATGCAGCGTCAATATTGATAGAAGAGAAACGCGGGCTATGGTCTTAGCGAACGGAAAGATGAGTGGCATCATAAGGCTGAAACCTGCTTTTCGCCACACCCATTCATTCTTTGCACGTTTACACGCACTTCAGCTTCGATAAACACATCTCATACGTGCATGTACTCGACCTTGAAGTGACGACTATCTATCTTCCGTGCAGACAGGGGTAGTCATCGGAGCTTCCTACGTGACCTTTCCGCGGATCATCCGGAAGATCATTGTCTTTATAGGAGGCATTACAACATCTCTCACTCAATGAAACAGAGACGTAAAGGTCGGTTAGCTCAGTTGGTAGAGCATCGCAATTACATACATAACTTCATGTTCTGAAGTAAGAAGTACTGCGAAGGCCATAGGTTCAAGCCCTATACTGACCATTAACTCATCTTTTTGGGCCTCGAAACCCTTTGTACAATGTGTAGGCAAAATCTATTCCTGCATATATCCGTTTAGAAGTCAAAGTGTACGTATAACTTGCTTAAACAGAACGATTTAAGAAGACCTCTTAACCCCTTGATCGATGTTTTCGTCCCGTATGTTTGTGGGGATGACTTACCTTCTGGTTGTTGGGCGAGTGCTCACTGGACCTTGGGAGAAGTCGGTAAGAAAAAGTCCGACATAACTGAGTAATTTCAGCCTTCATGTACCTGAAAAGCTCGATAAAGTCCTACTCAGGAGAAGTCATCAAGTATTCCATGGCGAAAAAGGTCAAGGTCAAGCCACTGATTACCTGGTGACTATATCACATGGGCACATGTAACGATGATCAGCAAAAGGGGCTCAGAATCGTTTCTTTGAGTATAAGACGAGAGCAGTATTTGAGCGGTATATACTAATCTTATTCCAATTTCTTACCGCCCGCGAACAGTCGTCGTCCTTATGCCATTCTATTCGTTCAATGCCAATTCACGAGATGCTTATCTAACCCTCGAGATGGGCACGCCAAAGTGGAGACGCAGGTCTAGCTGCTGCCGCATTGCCGGGTCCTCATGCACAGCATACCAAGGGGACTTGGCACACCGACTGAGGCTTGTTTCCTTCCTGATATGGAACCTGTCAGGAACGTGGACATCAGTGGAGGGCGATAACGCACAATTATCTGTGAGGTGGTGTGCGGATCGCGGTCGTGATTGATGGACGTTGCATCTGGAGTCTATCTCCTTCGGCCGGGACCTGCCGTTGTGAAAGATAATTTGGATGGCGTTGAGAGTGTACTGTAAGTAGGAGAATGGAAGTGAGGCTTGATGAGGATCCAGCTGAGAAGATGGTACGTACCTCTTCATATCTGGCGAATCGTACACACAGATGTTGGCGTTGGTGTTACCTTGGGAGTTGGGCCAAGTATAGTTGCTGGGCCATAGAGCTAGATCTGGAATACGTCCAATTGATTCAATTGTTCAATTACATGTATGGTCGCTTTGTTGGTAACAACCCCGTTTTAAATCGTTTCATTCGTCCAAATCACACCTTCTAGCTCTTGCCCTGATTGGATGACTTGAGTGACTTATATATTTTGAGTCTAGCATGATGATGTTCACTCATTTCAAAGGTGACAATGGCAGGAGACCAAGTTTAAATGTGTAATTTTCCTATGCGCTAAGATGTGTATATTCATCAAGTCGTGAGAAACATCAACTCAAAAAAAGGCAGCCTAGATACGCCGTCTTGAAGCTGTCAAACATCGAATTTTCTCCCATAAATCGCTTCGCTCAAATTCATTCGCAGCCTTAAGTATCTTTTCTCAACTCCGGTATAGCGTCATCCTAGTATAATGGGGAGCAAGCAACAAAGTTGTTCCCGCTTGCGCCGGTGTGTGTAATTTCACCGGCCAGCTTGCAAGCGGTGGTGATGATGACACGGTCAGCGCCGGGCGAGCCTGCATTACGATATCAATAAGAGAATTTACACATTCTTTGTCTTGATGCGGATGTGGTTCTTACCTCCAGTGTAGACGCCGCTGGTGAGCATGGGGAACTCAAGGTATGTCCCTGATACCTTGAAGCTGAAGCCCTCGTAGTTGTTGTAGACGTGCGGGTAGTCGTTGGCGGTCTAGGTGAAAGTCAGAGAGATGAACTCAACGAGATGTTCCTCAGCATTGGAAGCATTGACTTACGGTACCAGCAGTGTAGTATGCGCAAGCCTTCTGAGCGGCTTGGTTGACCTGAGTGGCAGTGTAGGATGTCGAGCCACAGGTGGTAGCGGCACGAGCCTCCAGGGCAGCGGGTGCAGCGGGTGCAGCGAATGCAGGGGCAATCAAGGCCGCCAGGGCCAGAATGGACGTAGTGAACTGCATCGTGATGAAGAAAAGTGAAGGAGAAGTTGATCCGCGAGTTGAACTTGAGACTACCTACACAGAGCTACACAGCACGAACGACACTTCTCATCTTGGGACAAAATGCGGATGAGTTATGACTATTTATATACTGCGTCTTTCCTCCTGTGCCCGCGATGCTCTATAGTGTGTAAAGCATTGCCAATCCGAACTTCCCTTTCAAGTCTATGCCGTCGATGGTCGTATCGCTACGATAACCGCTATCCCATGGGTTTTGAGTATGCACGTGTGTGCAATGCGGTTCTAGATACCCATACGTCCGGCACGTGCTGCGTCCTGCCATAAGGGTCCAGTCTCCCTAAGAGATGCGATGTTACCAAAAGCGGCAGGTAGTTGCCAGCTTGACGGCAGATCTCGACAACGTGCCATCGACTTTGGCTGGGAGTGTATCTCGTCCCTTGACGATGTTGGAGAATTACTATGCTTTGGGCTGGTTAGCTCCTTGGCAGGCCACGCTGGCTTGAACTTGGCGAGCGGAGTTCTCACCTCCCACTATGCTGGTATCACCATGTTTTAGTGATGAATAATAGTGTCGTGAAACTGAGAGACGGTAGAGTGTAGGGAGCTGACGGGCCTCAGGATACCCACGGGCGCGGTGCGCTTAAGCCGCCGTGAAGATAAGCTATGCTCAATAGATCGCTACTCCATACTTTCAATAGCATGTCCAGATACCCCGAACATTAGCAATCTGGTGTTGAAAAGGGTATCTGGACAAGATCCAGTCATCTCAACTCGGCGAACGCCGTTCGTACCGAGACCTCGTTAGCTCCCTAAGGACGTACCACTTCCGACATAGAAGTTGTGGGATTGTAAGTGAAAGCAGAGATAAGGCATTGGCCTACTGTGTACCAGTTGAGAGGCCTGGGCGACTATGGGGTCCGGCAGCAAGGCCTATTTCGACGTCTTTGTGGATTGAGAGCCGCGCGCTCGGACTTCTTGGAGGCAATCGGTGTCGTGACTGGTGAGAAGTTAGAACTTGGCGTCTCTAAACCTCATCAAATCCGACAAGTTGTCATTAACTGCAGATCATTCATGCTAGGTACTAGTAGATCCGGGTGCGAGCCGAAAGTAACGCGTGAACCGAGATCATCCTGACAGACTGCATCAGCTCGCCGATCTCTTTCTCAGGACCTCACAGAATCGAACTGTGGAAAGGTCTTGTTGAGAAGAGTCTTGAGGATGGAGCAGAGGCGGAGACGCGCTGGACGCGGCAACTAAAATGCGACACCGAGGTCGGCCCACAAGACATGGACCCGTAGCAACACGGGCCCGTCCAATGCACGTCATTCCGGAATCAACCACTGGTGATGAGAGACAGAAGGTCCCGTCGTAGCCTACTTCTCTATCCCTTACATCTCAACACCCAACATGGCGACCGATAGCAAGCACGGCACGATGCCGGAAGCGCTCGTGCCGCCGCCTCCGGCTTATAGCCGGGACCGGCGCGCGAGATTCTGGTTCACACTGCTGCTTGCTTGTGGCACTCTGGTGCTGGTCTACATCAATCTCACAGCACCATACCACACATCTCACATCTCAACCCCAGAAGTGTCAATCTCAATTGCTAGCTCCTTAGAAACATGCGCGTGGGATTCCCTTTCAGAACACTCATCACTGCTCTCCGTACCACCCATTACGCGCGAGGAATTCCTCACTCGGCAGGATGTGCTGGCAGCCACTTTACGCGATGCGGGAGTCGACGCTTTCATCGCAGAACCATCCGCGTCTTCAACATACTATCACAACATATCCTCAGCATTTGACCTCTCCGAGCGCCCATTTCTCAGCATCTTGTCGTCCGCGGGACAGTTCTCATACCTAGTACCCCAATTTGAAACTGGACGTATCAACCCCTCATCGCAGCACATGGTTTTCGAAGGCGATGCTGACGCTGCCGCGATCCCGTGGCCCGAAGAAAGCAATCCCTACGGGATTCTAAGTGAGCGGAGAAGCGGACTAAAGAAGGTCATGATTGATGAGCATGCGCGTCATATGATCGCTGCTGGCCTGCAAAATGTAGGCATTGAAGTTGTGCCTATGAGTCTTGAGGTCAAGCAGTTACGTGCTGTGAAGACGGATGCTGAGATTGACATTATGAGGGGTATCAGCTCGTTTACGCGACAACTTGTGCGGTCTTTGCAGAGATGTATCAAAGTGGGTACGCCCCAAGAGGACCTCGTGGCTGCTGGCCATGCGCTGTTTGCTCGTGCTGGTGTTGGCGAAGGGTACTGGGCAATCGCGTTATTTGGATCGCAGGCCGCCTATCCGCATGGAGGGAAGCGAGGCGCGATTCTACAAGAAGGCCAATTCATACTCTTGGACATTGGGAGTGTGTTACACGGCTACGGCAGCGATGTCACGCGCACGTTCCTCCCGGTGGGCGGTGCCGTCAGCGATGAGTTGATGGAGATCTGGGACACGGTGCATGAATCTCAGAGCGCGGGTTTCGCAAAGATGTTCCCGAATGAGACGTGTCGCGACGCTGATGCGGCGTCCAGAGTGCCTGTGGAGAAACTTGGATATAAAGAGTTTTACACACACCGCCTCGGCCATGGATTAGGATTGGAAATGCATGAGCATCCTTACTTGAACGGTGCGAACGAAGAGAAGCTGCGGGCTGGAGTTGTTGTCACTAATGAGCCGGTAAGTACCTCTCTTCTGACATCCTAGCTTGCCGAGCTTACTGACAAATGTGTAGGGTATTTACGTGACAGATGAGCAAGCTAAATCGCTCGGAAAGAGTGAAGGCTTCGGTGTCAGACTGGAAGATCCTATCTTAGTGACAGAAGATGGTGGCGTGCCATTGACGGGTCGCCGCGCAGTTTCGCCATGGGACCCGTAGGATAGCCTGTTACAAAGGAATGAGAGACTTCGGAGACATGGAACGAATAGACATTCATTGATTCCAAAGGGGGTATCAATTTCGCCATCGGAGGTATGCACCGTTGTACTTGCGCATTGCGACGTAGTAAACTAATGAGTTGAAAATGTGACATAACCCTAAGTGGTTGGCAGGCTGCAAAACATTGCCTTGTGTTGCAAACTGAGCTGTTTCGTGTGGCCATCTGGTTCAGCGGTTACTACAGATAACCCAGTTCGTCAAGATGACCACACACGCTGGCACAGTTATCTTTCATGCTGGGGACAGCGCGTTGTAACAGGTCAGCAACGATATGCCGGTAAGAGCCAAGTCGGCCGACATTTGCCAGTCGTCTTAGCACGATTGACCAGGTTGGAGACACCATTAGTGCTCATATGGCCGCTAATCTGACTTGATACGTTGCTCCATTCGTCCACATCGAGGGTCGAACAGCTCGAACGGACATGGAGGCTGTTGGTCTAGTTCCCTCCGTCCTCACACTGGCGAAAGCCATTGACATTGTGAGTCCATTGGCATGTGAGTGATACCTACTGCACGCTGCAGAGACGGCCGACATGCACATGGGGCTAGCAGCTCTCCATGCTCTACAAGTCCATGTTGAGTCTGCAGATTCACTCGAGAGATGTGTGTTTCAGACTCTGATTCGCAGGGTTTTGGAGATAAGCTTCGTCATAAGAACATGAGAGAAAAAGAATAGAGGTCTACCTTCAAGACGGAGGGCAAAAAGCTGAGATGATGGTCAGTATAGGGCTTGAACCTATGGCCTTCGCAGTAATTATTGCTCCGAAACTTGGAGTGAATGTTATTGCGATGCTCTACCGACTGAGCTAACCGACCTTTCTTATTTGTTGAGAAGATTCGGTTATAATCGTATTGATGAGATTCAAGTCGCGACGGACAATCCGCGGAGCCCCTGGACCAAATTATGGGCTTGTAACGATGGCCAGTTACCTATAATGTCGCTAGTTCAGCGGCAGAGACCCCTCGAGCCCTTTAGTAGCTGCTGCGATGAGTTGATACATCAAATTTCGTGTGGTTTTGTTCGTTTGGGAAGAGACAGTTGTGCATCAGTCAGAACTACTTTACATATTGAGTGGAGGAGAAATACACCCGCAACGAACCTACCCACACACATCCACAGTAGCAAGAGACACTGGAGAGAGCTTTGCTCAATTGTCATTGTCACAGACAATCCAAACAATATCAAAAATATAAATTGTTCTGAAGAACTTATGTGGCAAGTCATTTTGGTAATTTGGGTTTGTGTTAGTATCGGTTGTGCCATCGACCAGTTCACTACACGAGTCTACCGCCTCAGCCAACTCAGCTTCGACAGCGGAACACACCATAACAAAATAGGGCAGTGAACAACAACCGGTAGTAAGAAGAACAGCATTGATAATACTACCGGTCTAGTTGAATACAGAGACTTCGGGAATAAAGCTACGCCCCGAAGACCGAAGTCTTCACGAACGCATGCTCGTACTATATAAGCGCTCCCCCAATGGTACGTCCCTCAACCCGGTTTTGACCCATCGAACGTCAAGTTTCAATTGAAGTATCAACACTTGCGATAGGACAAAAGCTGCCAGATGATGCGTAGTCCTCTGTATCAAATGCTCCGAAATGCTGCTCGAACTGTGTGCGGTACGATGATAACTCAGATAGCATCCTAGGGGAAGATATAGTAATACTCCAGTGATGCAATGGGCTACTATTAGGTACCCCAAATCTGAGTAGTATTGGGCACATTCAATGATAATCTCGACCTCAAACATTGGCGGTCAGGTAGAGCGCCACGAGACGAATTCACATAAGCTCGGTCGGCTCGGATTTCCGCAGCTATCCCCGAATGTGTATATGTAGACCACAGATAATCAATCTCGCAGCATCTGAGCTCAAGTTCTGTGGCATGAATGTGGGCTACATGCGACGCTCGCAACGCACCCCCGAGTCAAAGCTGAATGAGGCTACCGGACATAGCGACGCTCGCTCAGCTTATAGGTGTCGCATATAGCTCACAATCCTCTCACGTACAACCGCGGTTCTCCATATTCCGTACCATCACGGGGGATCAAGATCTTCTGCGAACCGCAGACACGTTTGCCGATAGCCTATGCTTTTGAAAGGGGTAATGTGTTCCGCATCAAGTTACAAATCAGCAATGGTACCATCATGATGTGAATGGGTTTCTTCAATTATGAAGGTCCTTGGCATGATCTGGTATATAAGACATGAGCTCGTCTCGATAGATGGCCTACAAACGATTGAGGAGTCATTTGAGAACATGTAAACGAACATCCAGTTGAACGCAGAGACCCATTACTTTTCTGGATCAGGCAATATGGCACCAACATATGTAGCAGCATGGTACCCATCCCACAAGGCGCCAGCCCTCGAGATCGGTCCAGCTCCGTACCCATCTCCCAACGCTGGCGAGATCATAGTCAAAGTTGCCGTAGTAGCTTTCAACCCCGTTGACTATAAGATCCAGAACCTAGGACATGACCTCTTTCCCTTTCTCAAGTTCCCCTACATCGGCGGTAGCGACATCTCAGGGACCATAGTCGAGGTCGGAGAAGCCGTAACTCGTTTTAGACCAGACGACCGTGTCCTAGGGGCAACCCTACCCCTCGAGAATCGTATGGGCGCATATCAGCATTACGTCGCGCTCCCGGCGGCTTTAGTAACTAAGCTGTCAAGCGATATATCTTTCGCGAACGCAGCAGTGATCCCATCTTGTTTCGCAATGGCCGTAGTCGCGCTCTATGACCATCTTGGTCTCTCCCATCCCACTGTCCCAAGAGCCCCCAGCAACAGCAAAACTGTCCTCATCACTGCGGGAGCGTCTAGTGTAGGAAGCAATGCGATCCGAATCGCGGTAGCCTCCGGTTACGAAGTCTTCACCACTTCATCTCCATCCAACTTCGCGCATTGTGAGGCTCTCGGTGCTAGAGTCCTCGACTATCACTCCGCTACTGTAGCGCAGGAGATCAAGGATGCATTCAAAGGGAAAGAATGCGCGGGCGGTGTTGCGGTGACGGACACTAGCGCCGACCTGGTCTTCGATGTTGTGTCCAGTCTAGGCGGTAAACTGATCGCGAGCACGCTGCCATACTCCGAAGATGCGGTGCCGAGGGGCGTGAGCGCTCGGTTCATCCACGCTAATGAGATCGTCCGAAACGGACTTGCAGAGGTTCTGTTTGACGGCTTCTTAACTGATGCTTTAACGAAAAGAGAGTTTGCGCTTGAGCCTAAGCCCGAGGTTGTTGGGAAGGGTCTAGAGTCTGTCCAGGCTGCATTCGATAGAGAGAAGGCGGGTGGTGTTACGTGCAAAAAGTTGGTTGTTCTGCTTGAGTAAGACTGTCATGTGGGAGATCAACGAGCTAGCTTCTGCATAGCGATCGTGTCTCATTTCCTACTATCACACAATCGCAACTATTATCCGGCATGGATCGCAGGCTTTGTGGACCCTGATACGAGGTTGTAGGATATAGTAAAAAGCAAACCCATAAAATCAGGTCTCCCTGTAATTGAATACTTGGCCAGTCTTTGACTCTTCCTAGACTTGTTGACGGAGCGCACGACTAATACCCAACAATCATCTCCTCAGTTGCAACTAAATGAACAACTCTAGAAATATACACCTCTCACCCTGTGCCACAGCTCCTTTCCTAAACCCCCAAAATGAAAATTTCAGTCCAATCTTCCTAAAGGAAATCCCGTAAGCGCCTTGAGACCCATTCGTTTCTGGGCCAAGTCTCCAGTCTGAGGCGCATCCAGTTCCTGAAAAATCGCGTTCACTCTCCTCTCTGGCCACACATGTCAGCACCCCCTAAGAGACTCGCCCCGGGAACCGACTCACCGCGTAAAGTGTTCATCTCCGCAATAGTCCTAGGAAAGCCCTCGATCACCGAATTCGTCCAAACAGAGTATAACGGCGCGATAGGTCGATCGCGTGCTTGTATGGTGCTGTTACGCATGCGCGCCCGGTTATTGTGCTCCCTACACGGATTCCATCATCAGCAAGGATCCTCCATTGGAGAAGAGCACAATTATTTTGTGTTTGTGTGTATGTGTGTGTGTGTGTGTGTGAGAGAGAGAGAGAGAGAGAGAGAGAGAGAGAGAGAGAGAGAGAGAGAGAACAGGGAGACGGACTCGGCGCGAACACGCGTTTCCAATCCGACTAGCTCAGCGAAGACACGAGTCTCTAGTGCCTTGATCTTTCTATCCATGTTCTTCTCCAGACCATCCAAGCGTGGAACTATAGCGTTCACTGTATCAATGACGGCGTTCAGCACTTCGTGTTGGCGTCTTAGGGCGTTCTTAAGGGCTGCTATGTCCGGGTCGCGGGGGGACGCCATGACTGTGCATTACGATGAGTGTGTTTTCGATTTGCCGTTGCGTTGTAGATGAGCACACACGAGCTCCTATTCTTACTGAAGATGACGTTATTATTGTTTATAGATAGTCGGAGACGTTTCTGTAAGTCTTTGTTTGTCTAAACATTTCTATCCCTGTGGAACACTGTTGGTGATTGAGACGTGCTGGTAAAGGAGACAAGACATGTTAGTATGAGGCTTCTGGCAAAACTGCATACAACTCAGGACTTGTCAGACATATCAGCGCGAACTGCATATCTGTGAATCTAGTTTCAGTAGCCCAATGTGCTCGGCCAGAGACAGGTAGGGAGACCTGTAGATCTCAGGGCTTTTTGACAAAGGAACTTATCTTCTGGATCAGGCTCCCAAATTTGACGACAAACCATTTGACTTATCCCATATCTCTGCACCACACAGCCTATACGGTCTGAAATCTCCTGACATCCTCAAAATAGGTCTCTCCCGCCCTCCCGTAACATCCTACTTCTTCAAATATCGCGCCATACACCTCTCCCGATTCTTAACAGCATTTTGCACCCTCTGCCTATCAATCTCCTCAAAAGTCTTACGTCTCGCTTCCTCTTCCGGGGTGCCCTTCTTCCACTTCCTCTCGCTAGCAGCCGGCGGAGGTGCAGGCTTTTGCTGCCGCTGCTGCGAAGATTTCGGGCGAGAGGCTACGGAACGTGGAGGATGTGCAGGTGAGGATGAGGATGGGGTTGCTCGTTTATGTGAGGGCTGGATATCGTAGCCTTGACGAAGAGACTGGAGATTTGTCAGTGATGAGACACATTAGGAGACAGAGGTAGGCAATACATGAAGCTCCCTTTGCATTTTCGTCTGCGACTTCTCTAGCTTCTCGGCTGCTTTGCGCATATCGTTCATCTTCACAAGAACACACCTGGTCAAAGGGAAACGAAAAATAGGGCCGGGACGTCTTGGACAAAAAATGGCGGTCAATGTTACAAAGCAACGCCAAAAGTGAAGTTCACATTGACCATGAAATACATTCTGCAATCAGATCCGTGTAAAAGCCCCCGGTTCCTCTTCCCCATCCTCGTACGCAGCCGACCCGGTCTACAAGTCATGAACATAAGTCAGCATGACAGCAGTCGAAAGTAAAAAAACCGGACCACCCTGGAAAGAGTACCTACCTTAAGCTTCACCCCAACGTGGATCGCAATTATCGTTCACTCTGTCGCACGTTCAGTGTGCTCAGGTAAAGGCCTTCCCACGCCGACTGCCGCAAGTTTCATATCAGTTATGTATGTACCTGCGGAAGGAACATGTGTATACGCACGTCTCGCGTCTATAGGCAACAGCATAAACATCATCGTGGACGCTAACGCAGTCTAAAGAAAGCACAGTACACGGACGACCATTTCAGATCCAGTGGGCCCGGCCTAGGCACAGAGCATCATCATGCACGTCGATGGTATGGCGAAAAAAGTTGGGTTT